CCTTGAGGTTTTTTTGTATTTATGCATTTATTAACAGGGGGAGCAATGTGAGATAGCATCCAAGGGTATGAGTTTTGGAGTAAGACTACCCAGATTCAAGCCTGCCTGCTATGAACTAATTTTTGACCATAGCCAAGTCATTTCACTTCTCTGTTTCTCCATTTCTTCTGTCAAGTAGGTGCAATGATACCATTTCCTTCACAGATCTGTTGTACAGGCACAGAATATACAGCATTATGTGGAACATTATACGTTTTCAATAAAAGTTAGCTACTATCATTCAATGAATAATTCATTCAACCTTAACAATTATGTATTTGGTGCCTCTCATATGCCAGGTAATATTGTAGATCCCGAGACAGAACAGCTGATGAAAAAGGCACCATCGCTACTCTCTAGCCCTTCTTCACCCTATCACTCCACCCAGAAAAAGTAAACAAATAATCACATGAATCCATCTCCAATAATTACTGCTATTAATTTTAATTAAAACTAAATGAAAGGAGAAGAATGGCAAGGGTCAAGCATGCAGAAGTAGATTATGCAGGCCGCGTTAAATTCATGAATGTCATTAAAATTCTGGATTTTGATGTGTGCAATAAGAAGCTTTTATGTTTTGAACTGTAGGTATTTCTACTACAATGTGATAAGTGAGTTTTTAAAAAGTTTTGAATTCAGCAAAATTCATATTGAAATAGCATGACTCATGGGGAAAAAAAGTGCAGCTCTCCAAAACCTTTGCAAAAAGATCAAAACCAGCAAGCATCCATTTTTAATGAAAATATTCACAACTACTTATTAATAAAACTACTGATTAACAAATGACTACTTATTATTACTACTACTACTATTTATTAATAAATAAACTACTGATTAATAAATAACCCTACAAAGATAACATTCTACTCTAAGAAAAAAGAAGATAATATGATAGCATGAACATAGGTAAGGATCTGCCTATTTAGAGAAAGAGAAAGAGAGACATGTGCAAAAGTGTGGAAGAAACACAGCACATTATGATAGAATTTGTGTTCAGCGAGAGCCTAAGAAAGAACAGAATGTGGCCTGAAAGAAATGGGTATCATATTCCAGATTGCATCACTCTGTGGCTCCTGTTAACTTCTGCCTTATTACCATATTTTGCATTTAGCTGCCATTTTTTTGGTGACAATTATTTATGTGTTGAGTAACTGGATTATGCAACAACATACAGTGGTCCTCCCTTATCCATAGTTTTGCTCTCCAAGGTTTCAATTACTTGTAGTCAACTGAAGTCCAAAAATTTAAATGAAAAATTCCAGAAATAAACCATTTATAAGATTTAAATTGTGTGCTATTCTGAGTAGCAAGACAAAAATCCCACTCTGTCCCACCCAGCCTGTGAATCACCCCTTTGTCCAGCTTGTAGACACCACCTGCCCATTAGTCACTTAGCAGCCATCGTGGTGATCAGATCCACTGTTGCAGAAGCGCAGTGCTAGTGTTCAAGTATCCCTTATCTTACTTAATAAAAAAGCAAGAGCAGTGAGGCTGGCCATTTCAGATATTCCAAAGAGAAGCCATAAGTGCTTCCTTTAAGTGAAAACATGAAATTTCTGTTCTTAATAAAGAAAGAAAGGGAAAAAAAATATCATATGCTGAAGTTGCTATGGAAAGAATGAATCTTCTGTGAAATTGTGAAGAATGAAAAAGAAATTCCTGGTAATTTTTCTGTCTCACTTCAAATGGCAAAAGTTATGGCCACAGTGTGTGCTAGTGCTCAGTTAAGATGGAAAAGGCATTAAAGCTGTGAGGGGGAAGACATAAACAGAATGTTTTCTGATTAACAGCAATCAGGTTTGGTACTATCCGCAGTTTCAGGCATCCGCTGGGAGTCTTGTAATATGTTCTCTGTGGGTAAGGGGGACCATTGTACTTTCCATGTTCCATTCACATTCTTCTCTACTTACCAATCACTTTTAAGCTAATTTCCCCACATTACGTACACACATTCTAGCATAACGGACAAAGGGGAAATGAAACAAGTAGATGAGAATTTCTAGAAAAGTACTCTGCTAGGGGACCAAAACTCAGATTTTAGACACTTTTGACTTCTAAGGAGAAAGGGGAGCTTGAACCAAAGTGATGGCAATGATGATGAATATAGCCAGAAAGCCAACATAAAAAAAAATCTATAATATACAGTAAAAAGATAGTTGTTTCCAGAAATAACCTTAGATGCCCATACTCTCTAGAGTCTGAGTTTTGATACCTCACTTCCCCAAAAAAGTGGAAAAGAAAAATTTCATGGAACAGGAAGGTAGAAATACAAACAAATGATTTATACTAGAATAGGTTTGGGAACTCAGAGTGCCTGCCACCGACCTTTACTCCTCATGTTTATCTCCCCAACTGAACTGCATATTCCATGACTAAGATGAATATGAGTATGGGAAGAAACATGGGAAAAATGCAAAGTTCAAGAAATTTAAATGCTTTGGAGGTTAATGTTAGCAGTTTAAACTTGAAAACAAAAGAGATAAATATGCCCATTATGCTTACACAGGCTTATTGAAAATATAATAGATGCAAATATTCTCTGAACTCCTAATATTTTGTTACCACAAACATGGTACAATTCACATTAGGTATTTGACTTTAAACATTAAAAATAAATTTCTTAAATAGAAATCACAGTTTTGTGATTTAAACTCTATTATTTAAATCAGTGCTGTCTAAAAGAAAATAATGCAAGCTATAACATGAGCTCCATATGGAATTTTAATTTTCTAGGAAGCACATTAAAAAAGTATAAATAAATAAATAAAATTAATCTTAATATATATTTATTTAGCCTAATGTATCCAAAATATTATCATGTCAGCAAGTAATAAATATAAAAATTAAGATATTATACATTTTTTTCTTTGTACTAAGTCTTTGATATTCAGCATATAATTTAAAAGTAGAGCACCTCACCATTACAACTTGCCAAATCTTAAATAGTTTCTTATAACTAGTTGTTTCCATATTGGACTGTGTAGGTCTAAGTTAACTTTACATGGCCATTATTTTGCGAGAATGACCAGATGCAATAAAATGTGTATTATTTATGGTTTGGTTAGTATCTAACAGTTGTAATCCTTCAGAAGGCAGAAAAATTTTCATACCCTGTTTTATTTATTTTTTTAGAAGAGCACTTATAGAAAACTTTCAGAGTATAACTTTTGGACACTCCTCATCTTGCATCTTATCTCAAGTATGGAGCATTGCACCCACATTAAATGTTTAAATTTGAATATTTGTGAAGAACGGATTACACATTTTTATTATGTTAGACATAACTGAACAAGCATTGAACTGGATTGCAGCTGACTGGTTGACAAAAGTGCCATGTTTTATGGACATTTAATTAAACACATATTGATTTTGGTTTTAGCTTTATTGTTATGCAGCCTTATATATATTTTCTGGCTTCTATCATTTTTGACCCTAGGAAAGAAACCTCATGGGCTCTGAACATTGTGCCCTTACTGCCAAATGTGTAAACACCCTGGCTCAAGCAACATTTTCCTTACGCCTGCTTGCAAATTGTAGGAATGCTTCTATTCCTTTAGTTCTTAGTGTAATTGTCACTTACAACAGAGTATTATTAACTTAAGTTTTACCATCAGAATCTCCTGTTTCCTTTTTTTTCACATTGGCATAATTTTCCGTTACTTATTTGTTTTTATTTTTTTGAGACAGGGTCTCACTCTGTTGCCTGGGCTACAGTGCCGTGGCATCAGCCTACCTCACAGCAACCTCAAACTCCTGGGCTCAAGCGATCCTTCTGCCTCAGCCTCCTGAGTAGCTGGGACTACAAGCATGTGCCACCATGCCTGGCTAATTTTTTCTATGTATTTTTAGTTGGCCAATTAATTTCTTTCTATTTTTAGTAGAGACAGGGTCTCGTTCTTGCTCAGGCTGGTTTCGAACTCCTGATCTTGAGTGATCCGCCCGCCTCAGCCTCCCAGAGTGCTAGGATTACAGGCATGAGCCATTGATTGTTTATTTTCTATTTCTGATTTTATAGAGACAAATATTGTGCCTTCTTTTTTATCTACTGTATAATTAAGGACCTAGTACCTTATAGACAATAAATATTAGATAAGTGAACTTAAAAAATGCTTGTTATAAGGAAACGTTGAAAGCTTATTTTATCTAAATGCAGAGTAAATATTGTCCATCTGGTAGAGATCCAAGATTTCTCTGAGCTGCGCACCATCTACAAAGCCATTCCCAGATATCCAGTGTTTCTACTATAGCAAGGCTAGAAAAGCATTTTTTTTTATTTTAAGCTTTTAAAGCCTTATAATTATCTAACATTTTGCAAATCATTTACATTTTAGTAAGATCATTTACTTTGACATTCAGCAATTTATTTTGTTCTTTCCTGGATGGTCTGAGTCTTTCTATTCTTTAACTTTAGGGACTTTTTTCCTTTTTAAAATTGTTCTTTTTTTCTTTACTTTCCACATTTACATTCTTAATCTTGGTGTATTTTGCAGGTGATATTTGACAATATCTGGAGATATTTTTTTGTTGTCATACTGGGTATGGGAGAGTATGCTACTGTCATCTATTAAATAGAAAAAAAAAAAGGGTGCCACTAAAAATCTTAAAATGCACAAAATAACTCCCCAGAATACCTCAGATGTCTATAGTGCTGATGTTATAAAATCCTATTCTAATTTAATAGTTCACTTTAAAATAGTAATCTGTGTTTTTGTCTTAAAATGATTCCTAAATTTAATAAAATCTGCTTTTGTTTATAATACACCTTTCACTTCCTTGTAACTAATATTTTTTCAAGTCTGTAAAAAACTTGGTAAGTTGAACAGCAATGACCATTTAGCAGTATCATTCTTTTATAGTCTTTCCCCTGTTTCTTTAACTGTTGGCAGCTATAATTAATGTTTTGATGAATATCATCATGTAATTTTATTAATTTAATGTACCTTTGTTCATCTATTTTATAGGTCCCTTTAGATGGAATATAATACAGCAGAAGCCTTTTCATCAAAAGGATTAATGCCTGTGTTATCATTTCTGCAATAAAACAGGAAGCTAAGTGGTGGAGGCCACAAACACTTCAAACCTGGATTCCACAATTCTACATTAAGTGCTGGAGTTTTTATCACTCTGCTGCAGGAAAGCCTTTGCCAATGCTTACAAGGAACTGTTTATCCCTGCTTCTCTGGGTCCTGTTTGATGGAGGTCTCCTAACACCACTTCAGCCACAGCCACAACAGACTTTAGCCACAGAGCCAAGGGAAAATGTTATCCACCTTCCAGGGCGACGGTCACATTTCCAACGAGTTAAACGTGGCTGGGTATGGAATCAATTTTTTGTGCTGGAAGAATACATGGGCTCCGAGCCTCAGTATGTGGGAAAGGTAATGGCGTGTTTCTTTTGACAACCACTTGATAGGAAGGGGGAATATGCATTGTGTATTGTGTATGGATGTTTTGCACAGGAGTTGAACAAACCAGTGACTAGACCACTGGCATTGAAATCCGAGAGACCTGGTTTATCTTCCTGACTCGATGGCCCGGGTAAGCTTTGGAATATCATTAATCCCCTCTTTGCTTCAATTCCCTCTGATTATTTTAATGAAAACAGTATATTTTTTTGTTTCTATTTTTGACATTCTTTGCTGAAGACATGAAGTTAAATATGCAAATGTCATTAAGTATAATTATAAGCATAGTATAAAGGTAATTACAGCATATTATTGCTAACAGCCAAGCTGGAATTGTTCACCAACAAAAAACACAGAGAAAAATCACCTGGCGTAAATATTGTAAACTGATATTGGTATTCTTAAATGATCAGGATGTGTTCTTTCTCCATTCCCCTTAAAACATGACATACTATTTTTATTATGGTCCAAAGTGTTGAATTTGTCTTGCTTATGCTTTATAAATAATTTATTTATTACATATTTCACAAGCTATTTATAAAGCTATTTATGACTTAAGTAATAAATTTGGAACCCAAATATATAGACAATTTTCAACAGAGAATTCAATTTTTAAATTTTATTGCAAGTTTATAGAAATTTAATTTTTTATACAAAACTGTTGATGGTAACTGTTTCAGCACACTTATGTTTTGCTGCTTATTTTTCTTTCATAAAAATTTTCACCCATGTCTAGAACAGATAGAACTTATCCATTACACCAACAAAGGTTTTTCCCCCCAAAAAAATAATTTTTGATTTATTTTTATTTTGTGAATTCGTTTCTAAATTTTCTAAAAGAATTTTTTCATGGGCTTTATTAAAAACATATATGCTTGAGAACAGTTTAAACTAAATCCAAAGGCAGAAATGGAAAACCTTAGTAGGAAGAGCATTTGGAAATGAACACAGAAGATTATAATTCTTGACCATTATATTCCCTAAGCTTTCTGAAAAGAGAAACATGATGGGTCTTATGATTCCAAAGTTAAGTCAAAGGAAGCATATTCATTGTGATCTAAATTCTTTGTACCACATTTTTTTTTTTTTTAATTTGCTTTGTGGAAATGTATTTAAAAGATGTTGAAGGATTCAGTGAAGAAGGTCTTTCAATAGAAACTTCATTGAAAACAAACATACAGCCGGGGTTGCCACTAAGGCATACAGGGCCCCAGGCAAATATTATTTTGCAGGGCAAAAATTGAGTCACCCCACATTAGTCTGTGAGTACCATTCTGGCAGTCCAATTTCCAGGATCTTACAAAAAAAAAAATGCAGTGCCCGTAAGCAGGACCTATCTCTTCCATAAGGTGCCTACTAGGAATCAGGGCATGGGCATGTGGCCCTGGTACAAACCCATACTACAATCCCTGGAGCTCCACAGAGCACCCATGAACCCACAGGTTGTGTCAAAGTGAGCCCCAAATGGGAAAAACGGACGCTGAGGCCTATACACTTCCAGCCCAGACCAGGGAGCCCTGATCAGGATTCCCTTCTCAGGCTGCTCACAGATGGCCAAGGACACAGGAAGGATCTTAGAAAATATTAAGAAAGACACTACAAAGTATAAAAGTCCTCTGAAATTCCTGCACAAAGCTTCTGCTTATATAATTCCTCAATATGATCATGGAAAATAATAATAACTAAAGCATTTCTAGGTAAGATAATTTCATGTAGTTCTGGTACACTTGCTTCTTTTGATTTAATTTAATATAAGGATGGAGTTTGAAACCCAAGATAAATGGAAGGACAACATAGCTGTAAAACTCTGCTATATATATATATATATATATATACTAATATTAATTATCTAAATCAACTCTGTTTATGATAGAAGCTATACATCACATTGAGGTTACTGGCAAATGACTGAAGAGAAGATATTCTCTGTATTTATTTGTTTGTTTGTTTGAGACAGGGTCTCACTCTGTTGCCCCAGCTAGAGTGCAGTGGCATCATCATAGTTCATTGCAACCTCAAAGTTTTTGGCTCAGTGATCATCCTTCTACCTTAGTCTCCTGAGTAGCTAGGACTACAGGCATACACCACCAAACTGAGTTAATTTTTTGTGTGTTTTTGTAGACAAAGGGGTCTCCTATGTTGCCCAGGCTGGTCTCAAACTCCTAGGATCAAGTTATCCTCCTGCCTTGGCCTCCCAAAGTACTAGGATTATAGGCGTAAGCCACTAAGCCCAGCCTATTCTTTGTTTTTGATTTAAGCAGATCCATAAACTTTATTTTCTAGACTTGGAGGTGATAAAGATGGCATTAAGTTGAAAAATTAATGAAACTTAATTTTATTTGACCCTAGATAGGGTAGTACTTCACCTCCTGGTGGATATAAGAAACAAAATTTGTGAGATTGCTTATGTAACTTTTTGTCTAATACTTTGAAATTCTACCTTTGCAATTGCTGTGAAAGTATAAAATTCCTCCAGTTCATTTAAAAGTATTTATAAATATGATTAAAAAGATCACTTTACTCAAGTGAGAATGGCTTTCACCAAAAAGTCCCAAATTAATAGATGCTGGCATGGATGTGGAGAGAAGGGAACACTTATACACTGTTGGTGGGACTGCAAACTAGTACAGCCACTATGGAAAAATAGTATGGAGATATCTCAAAGAACTAAAACTAGATCTACCATTTGATCCAGCAATCCCACTATTGGGTATTTACTCAAAGGGAAAAAAGTTGTTTTATCAAAAATACACATGCATTCAAATGTTTATAGCAGTACAATTCACAATTGCAAAAATGTGGAATCAACCCAAGTGGCCATCAATACATGATTGGATTAATAAAATGTGGTATGTGTGTACTATGAAGTATACCAAACCAGAAAACAAAACAAAACAAACAAGAAACCCGATGAACCAATACCTTTTGTAACAACATGGATAGAACTGGAGACCATTCTTCTAAGTGAAGTATCACAAGAATGGAAAAAAAAAAAAAAACCCACATGTACTCACTATTTAATTGGAACTAATTGATCAAAACCCATGTGCACATATAGTAGTAAAACTCAATGGAAACCAGGGAAGGAAGAGGAAGGGATAGGTAAATTCACACCTAATTGGTACAATACACGCTATCTTGGTGTTGGGCACATTTATAACTTTGACTCAAACTGCACAAAAACAAATCATGTAACCAAAATGTTTGTACCCCCATAATATTCTGAAATTTAAAAAATACACAAATGAGTATTTAAAAAAATAACAAATAAAAAATGTATAGGCAGTACTAAGAACATGGACTAGAGAAGAGCAGGGTATATTAAGTAAAAAAAAAAATCCAGAAACTGTGGACATAGAATCCCTCCATGTTTTGTCTTGTAGGACAGTCAGGATGAGGATACTCCACAGTGAAACAGAGAAGGATCTAAGTCCTGAGATAAACAAAAGAGAAATTGGTTTTGACCTCCTTTAAAAGGAGAACAGGTGAATAAAGAGGCATATAGGTTTATAGTTATGATTAGACTATTATATTTTTGCCATTAGACTGTAAATACCATAAGGGCAGACGTAAGTCTGGCTTATATATTAGAATGTTCCTGAGACTAGCACAGTGCCTGATGCACAGTTGACATTTAACTAACACCAGCTGAGTAAAGAAATAAATAATGTTGATTTATATTCATCTGTTTTTAAACATCCATCTAGCATGCTCAAAGCATTTTCTATATATATGAGTTTTACATAAGTAGATTAATGTACAAAGAATAAAAAATTTGATTAAAAAGTGATGGATACTTCAATTATCCAGATTTGATTAATATACATTGTATGCCTGTATCAATACATCACATGAACCCCATAAATACATACAACTATTATGCACTCATAATAATTAAAAATAAACATTTAATTTTTTTAAAAAGGAGTAAGTCTAATATCTAACTTATTATTACATTTAAACAGCATTATTTCCATTGGTACATGGCTCCACATTGGTAATGAGTAATGAAAACCCATAGTTCTTAAACAATGTATGTTTCTAATGCAAATGAAATGACAGTTGCCAAAATTTCTTTTCCACAAGGAAACTAATTAAAATTTAATTAACTCTGTCTTGATGCTTCTAGATTTGAGAATAGAAATATGATAACATGGGGACCAATTCAAACCATTATATGAGTGTGTAAAAACATATATAAGTATATCGATTCTTCTGCTCTTTCTAGAATGGCTTTTAGACTGCTCACAGAAAAGTGAATTACTATAAATAATATAGAACTCAAGGCTAAGGAAAAAGACAAATGCAAAAGTGCCAAGCACAGTGATCAACTAACTGCAGTTGAAAACTTGTACCATTGAAAATCCAAGTATAACTTCTGACCCCCTAGAACTTAACTACTAATCGCCAACTATTGACCAGAAGCCTTACCAATAATATAAATTATGAATTAATATATAGTTTGTATGTTATATGCATTATATACCATATTCTTACAATAGAGTAAAATAGAGAAAACAAATGTTAAGGAAATCATAAGGAGAAAAAAATATATTCACTATTTATTAAGTGGAAGTGAATGATGATACATGTCTTCATCTTTGTCGTTTTCACACCATGAAGGCTGAGGACAAGGAGCAAGAGGAGGACAAGAGACAGTCTTACTGTCTCAGGAGTGGAAGGTGAGACAAATCTGTTTATAAGTGACCCCCACTGTCCAAACCTGTGTTGTTGAAAGTCAGCTATACTATCTTTAACTTCAAATCTGACTTTCAGTCTTTTTGCAGAAAGAGCATATATGGAAAAAGGTAATTTGTATAGTTCTCATTATTGAAAACTCCACTATTTTAGAGAAAAATTAAATTTTGTACATTCAAATCTAAAAAAAATGCCATCATAGAAATTTATAGAGGGGACCCTGAGTTACTTAGTGGACAGAAGCCTCAATGATCATTATATTTAAAGAAACAGAT